AGCAATTAGGCAAGAAAAGGCATCCAAATTAGAACAGAAAAAGTTCACGGATGACATGATCTTATATGCAGAAAAACCCTAAATAAAGAGTCCATAAAAAAACTCTTAGAATAAATGAATTCAGCCAAGTTCCAGGATACGAAGTCAACACACAAAAATCAGCTGCATTTCTATACACTAGCAATGAACAATCTGAAAAGGAAATTAAGAAAACAATCTCATTTACAACAGCACCAAAAAGAATAAAATACTTAGGAATAAATTTAACCCAAGAGGCTAAAGACTTGGACAATTTTAACCAAGGAGGCTAAAAGCTTATACAAGAGAACATTGCTGAAAGAAATTAAAGACTTAAATAAACAGAAAGACATCCACGCTCATGGACTGAAAGACTCCATATTGTTAGGATGTAAATACTATTCAAAATGATCTACAGATTCGGGGCCAGCCCAGTGGTCAAGTGGTTAAGTGCGTGCGCTCCACTTTGACGCCCCAGGGTTCACAGGTTCGGATCCTGCATGCGCACTGACGCACCACTTGTCAAGCCACGCTGTGGCAGCATCCCACATAAAGTAAAGGAAGATGGGCACGGATGTTAGCTCAGGGCCAATCTTCCTCAGCAAAAAGAGGAAGATTGGCAACAGGTATTAGCTCAGGGCCAATCTTCCTCACCAAAAAAAAAAAAAATAAAGAAAAAGAAAAACAAAATGATCTACAGATTCAACATAATCTCTATCAAAATCTCAATGGTGGGGCTGGCCCGGTGGCATAGTGGTTGAGTTCGTGCGCTCCACTTTGGTAGCCCAGGGTTCGCAGGTTCGAATCCCCAGCACAGACCAGCACACGACTCATCAAGCCATGCTATGGCAGCATTCCACATACAAAATGGAGGAAGATGGGCATGGATGTTAGCTCAGAGCCAATCTTCCTCAGCAAAAAGAGGAGGATTGAGGGGCAGGACCAGTGGCATAGCAGTTAAGTTCACACGCCCCGCTTCAGCAGCCCAAGGTTTCACAGGTTCAGATCCTGGGCGTGGACCCACGTACCGCTTACCCAGCCATGCTGTGGTAGGCGTTCCACATAAAATAGAGGAAGATGGGCACAGATGTTAGCCCAGGGCCAATCTTCCTCAGCAAAAAGAGGAGGATTGGCAATGGATGTTAGCTCAGGGTTAGTCTTTCTCACCAGACAAAAAAAACAGGAGGATTGGCAAGAGACGTTGGCTCAGGGCCAATCTTCCTCATCAAAAACAAAACAAAAAAAACACATCAATTGTTGTTTTTTGCACAAATAGAAAAATCCATCCTAAAATTCATATGGAATCTCAAGGGATCTCAAATAGCCAAAATGATTTTGAAAGAGAACTAAGTTGGAGGATTCACACTTCCTGATTTCAAAACTTACTACAAAGCTACAGTAATCAAAACAATATGGTACTGGCATAAGGGCAGATATATAGACTAATACAATAGAACAGAGAGCCCAGACATAAACATATGGTCATATGATTTTTCAACAAGGGTGCCAAGACCATTCAATAGGGAAAGGACAGTCTTTTCAACAAATGGTACTGGGAAAGCTGGATATTTACATGCAAAAGAATGTATCAGACCCTTACACTATACCACAGACAAATATCAACTCAGAATGGATCAAAGACCTAAATGCCAGAGCTAAAACTGTAAAATTCTTAGAAGAAAATATAGGGGGAAAGCTCATTATCTTGGATCTGACAATGGTTCATTAGGTATGATACCAAAAGCAGAATCAATGAAAGAAAAGAGAGATAAATTGGACTTCATCAAAATTAAAAACTTTGTGCAATGGACATCATCAGGAAAGTGAAAAGACAAACTTGGGAATGGGAAAAAATATCCACAAATCACATATCAGATAAGAAGTTAATATCCAGAATATATTAAGAACTCCTACAACTCAACAAGAACAAAAAATCCAATTAAAAAATGGGCAAAGGGGGGCTGGCCCAGTGGCATAGTGGTTGAGTTTGCACGCTCCCCTTTGGTGGCCCGGGGTTCATGGGTTTGGATCCTGGGCACGCAGCTACACACCACTTATCAAGCCATGCTGTGGTAGGCATCCCACATAAAATAGAGGAAGATGGGCATGGATATTAGCCCAGGGCCAATCTTCCGCAGCAAAAAGAGGACTGGCAACAGATGTTAGCTCAGGGCTAATCTTCCTCACACACACACACACACACACACACACACACACACACACACAAATGTGGGCCACCCAGGTAGCGTAGTGGTTAAGTTTGCATGCTCCACTTCAGCGGCCTGGGGTTCGCAGGTTTGGATCCCAGGAGTAGACCAATGCACTGCTTGTCAAGACATGCTGTGGCGGCGTCCCATATAAAGTAGAGGAAGATGGGCACGGATGTTAGCCCAGGGCCAATCTTCCTCAGCAAAAAGAGGAGGATTGGCAGCAGATGTTAGCTCAGGACTAATCTTCCTCACAAAAAACAAAAAGAATGGGCAAAGGACCTGAAGAGGCATTTCTCCAAAGAAAATACACAAATAGCCATACACATCACTAATCATTAGAGAAATGTAAAACAAAACCACAACGTGATACCATTTCACACCCTTTAGGGTGGCGATAATCAACAAAACAGAAAATAACAAGTGTTGATGAGGATGTGGAGAAGTTGGAATCCTTGTGCACTGCCGTTAGGAATGTAAAATCATGCAGCTGCTGTGGAAAACAGTATGGTAGTTCCTTAAAAAGTTAAACAGGGGCCGGACCAGTGGCATAGCAATTAAGTTCACGCACTCCACTTCAGCAGCCCGGGGGTTCGCCAGTTCAGATCCTGGGCGCAGAATACTCACCACTCATCAAGCCATACTGAGGCGACGTCCCACAAAGAAGAACTAGAAGGACCTACAACTAGGACATACAACTATGCACTGTGGCTTTGGGGGAGAAAAAAGAAAAAGAAGAAGATTGGCAACAGATGCTAGCTCAGGGCCAATCTTCCTCAAAAAAAAAAAAAGTTAAACATAGAATTACTATATGATTCAAAAATTCCACTTCTGGGTTTAAACTCCAAAGAATTGAAAACAGGGACTCAAACACATATTTGTACATTCATTACTCACAAGAGCCAAAAGCTAGAAACAACCCAAGATGAATGAACAAAATGTAGTATACATACAATGGAATATTATTCAGCCTTAAAAAAGAATGAAATTTTGACACATGCTACAACACAGATGAACCTTGAAGACATTATGCCGAGTGAAATAAGCCAGTCATAGAAGGACAAATACTGTACGATTCTACTTATATGAGAAACTTAACGTAGTCAAATTCACAGAGACAGAAAGTAGAATGGTGGTGGCCAGAGGCTGGGACGAGAGGGGAATGGGGAATTATCGTTTAATGGGCACAGAGTTTCCATTTGGGATGGAAATAGATAGTGGTATAGTTACATAACATCATGAATGTACTTAATGCCACTGAATTGTACATGTAAAACGGTAAATTTGACGTATGTATATTCTACCACAATAAAAAAAAGTAAAGAAAAAACAATCAGGCCACATTTTCAGCCCACTGAAAGAATCCCTCTTTAAAGGCCAGTTCTCCTGTTGGCCTGAGGCATCCTTCCCATGGCAATGGGCCCTGAGGATGTGATCTTTCTATGTCCTTTGTATTCCAACCTCAAACCCAGTCCCAATAATCTAAACCCTAATCTGGGTTCTAAATCTAAACCAACAGCACAGGTTGGCTAGCCACTGTTTGAAAGGCTAAGGCTTGAGCTTCCCTGGGCCAGGTAGTTTGCAAGGATAACTGTCTGACAGCTCTGACAAGTTGCCAGCAAAGGCAGAAGCCAATCTGGGTAGCTTTCACTCTCTATTACTTCCCCTTTCGCTTTCCCACAGGACACCAGACAGCCACACAGAAAGGAAACAGAGGCCAGACAGACCAGCCTGATTTTTTAAAGTTGAAAAGTGAGTCCCTGTTTCCCTCCATCCCTCACAGGTCTAGATATTTAATATCCTTTGTACTTTGTAGAGTTGAGGAAGAGTCTTCGCCCATCCAACAGCAGAACCAACAATCTCCACCCTCTGTAGTCTCTAGGGCCCTTTCATACAAATTATCCTTTTAGCTCGCAAAATAACCCAGTGAGAATGAATGTGTAAGGGTTGTTATCCTGCACTGCAGACATGAAGAAACCGGAGCTCACGGAAATGAAGCAATCTGTCCCAAGTCTCACAGCCCCAACTGACAGGGCCAGAGTTTGCACACAGATAGTGAACCTCAGAGTTCTCCTTCCCCTCGATTACTTCGGAAAGATCAACATAGTAGAAATAGAATCAGACCATTCTGGTGTCAAACAAGAGCAAGGAAAAATGCTTCCAAGTTTGGCAACTAATAGGACTAGCAGGTCCATCCCCAGAGAAGTAGCCTGGGAAAAAACAAAGCGCCATCCTCTTTCTCCGAGGTCCATCCTGACCTAGAAATGGGTCTTTCCTTTTGAACTCAACGGTCCAGTTGGGTTCCCAGGGCACAGTCCCGCGCCGTCTTGCCCAAGGCGCGCAGACGGCCAGGTGAGGGTCTGCCACACTCACAGAATTTCACCAGGGGTGGATGACCACCTAGGTCATGGGGAAACGGAATATTCAGGGCGCTCAGACTCGAACAAATCACGCTTAAACCAACGAGCATCTGAAACTGGAAGCGGCCCTGGAAACCCACACGAGAAACGGGAAGAGCCAAAGGCCCGCGGCGCGCTGACCACAGCACCACCACGCCCGCGCATGCGCGACGAGGACACCAGCGCTGGAAGAGTCTCGTCGCCGGCAAGCACCACACTTGGAGGGCGGGCCCCGACTCCTCGCGCATGCTCCAGCCGCGCGCGCATGCGCGTTCACGGCAGCTGCCTTGATCCTGGCAGTCCTCTGCCTTCTCGTCCCTGTTCCGGATCTGAACGCTGGCTACCTCAGCCATGGCCCTCACTCCGCATTCCTCACCTTGCGCCCGGTTTTCTCCCGTAGGGCCTTCAGCCTTTCCTTTCGCCGCAACGCCTCTTCCTCTAGCCGGCCCACACCGGCCGTAGTGGCCGCCATCTTGCCCACCCTCCTCGTCTCTCGTCCCGCATCGCGCAGGCCCAAGGAGTAGATGAACCTCTCACGGCCAACCCAGGGACGAGAACGGGAGAGCAGGAAGTCCTGAAAGCCAATCAATGCTGAGTTGCTATAGGAGGGCCCGCCCTCTTCCTCGCCCGCAACTCGCCTAGCCCGTGTGGGGCTGACAAAGAATGAGACGCTAAGGCTCGATTCGTCCAACGCCAATCAGTGAGAAAGCAGCGAATGGAATCAGACCTGAGTGAAAGAAGATAGAGCGCGTCGATCGCTCTGGATTTCCCTAAGCGCCAACGATAGCTCGCTCCCTGCCGGCCGCTTGGAGTGCGCTGACCCATCCTTGTCCACTTGTCCTGATCCTTCGAGCCTCGAATGCCTTCAAGAAGCCTGACTCTCCACTCTCACCCCAACTTAATAAGAGGTCTGCCTCTCCCTTCCTTTCCAGGTATCAGTGGCTCCCTGGATGCACTTGTCCATGGGCCCCTAGCCCCTTCTGTGTCCACTCACAGCAGACGAAGCCTGCGTAGTGCAGGGCTTAGCTGGATGGCCGTTTCCCTCTGGGCTGGTGGATGATCCCCTCCCACCTCCAACCCCCCTGGAGCAGCAAAGTATCCAGGGTCAGACTACCCAACGTGGAGAAGAGCAAACCACAACCTGGGCCCAGTGGGCTGGAAGGAACCCTCTGAGCTTAGTTCCTGAGAACTAAGCTGAGAGTTGGTTTGGCCTCGACTGCAGCAGGTGGCCACGAGATGCACTTCCCAGCAGGAGCTGCTAGGGTCTTTCCTGCATTAGTCAACATGCCCTGACAATGGAGAGAGCACTCTGGCTGAAGTCAAGGTCTTCTGAGAGCATGTCTGGGTCCCCACAGCCACACCGTCCCCCTCCCCCACCCCCCCATACACCATGACTTGTCTCTCGCAAAGCTATTCCCTCTTTGGGGCCTGCCTTCCCAGGCTGGCAGCAAGTGGACACCTACAACTCCCTTCCCAACTTCCTTCAGAGGCCCTTGTGCCACAGACCCCCATCCAGCCTCCCCCCAAAACGACCCTCTTGACCTCACTAACCTGGTTTTGGTACCCTCTCCCTGCATTGGGTGGGGCGCCCTGCCTGGGCCTGGTATGCAGGTAGGACCTGGTACACAGGTAGTAGGTGGTCAGGAAATGTCAGCTCAGAGGTGGGATGGAGAGGGCAGGAGAAAATGCCAGAATGAAGGGACTGCCCAAAAAGCCAGGAGGACAGAACAGAATGGGAATGGGGACAGTCTGTCTTCTCTTGGCCACCCAAGGTCTAGAAGGCTCCAGACTGGTCAGTTCCTCCAACTGATGGTAGCTATCTGGGCTGCACAAAGTTCCCCCCAGGTCCAACAAAGGCTCTGAGCCCTGCCCAACAACAGGTAGGGGGAGCCCTCACCTCCTAGGCCTGCTAGGGGGACGGGCCAAGGGGTGATGGTAGCAGTGGTCCAGCAGAGTCAGTCAGGCTTCTGTCCCTGTCCAGGCTGTCCCTGGCTGCCCAGGGGGTCCTCATCTGGCCCATCTGGGCCTCAGATTCTGAGGCCTCATCTGTAAAACAGAGGCATGAGGCACCTTCGTGCCTCTAATCTCTTAAGGTTAAAGAAAACAAAAGATGTGAAGCAAGTGCTGGGCCCTGGAGTGGAGGGAGCCTCTAGGAAGGCTTCCTGGAGGAGGGGAACCTCAAAGATTGCCTAATTTCCCAGGGATCTGCCTGACAGATGGAGGGCACTGCTCCCCCGGAGGTATTTCAGGTTTGTCCTGCTGCTCTCTGATCCCACCCCCCTCCATTCTGCTCCACAAACAATAGGAGCAAAATAGTGGCACTTCGGTTTCCCCATAAAGCGCTTAGAACAGCACCTGGCACGTGGTAAACTCTACAAGTGGTCGTCATGGTTGTTGTAATCATTACACACTTGTTGAAGGACCCTCGCCATCTGCAGGGTCCCCCTTCCCTTCCACCCCGCGAGGCTGTCCCTTGGACGAATGGTGGCAATTCCAGCCGGGCGGGCTGCGTCCTGGTGCGGATCTAGACCCTAGGGCAAATCTGGAATCCCTGACCCCAGATTTGGAATCCCTGACCGCGTACGGGAGGCTCAGATTAGCCCTTCCCGAGGCACTGGTAGGGGCGCTGACGGAGGAGGGTGGGGCTGCGGGGCTCCCTGACCTCAGGCTCCTCCTCCCGCCGGGCTCCCCGCCCTTTGCACAGTCCCGGGAGAGGCGGGGCGGCGGTGGCGGCAGCGAAGTGCAGGAAGCCAGGCGGCGGACGGCCGGGAGGAGGAGGAGCACGCAGACTTGGGTGGCTCAGCGAGGCGGGGGCCAGTACTACTTCCCCCAGTAGTACGGCGCCGCTCCGCCCCGGAGTGACGCCCTCCGCCCATGGGCCTGGCCGAGGGCAACCGGCGGGCGGCGCGGAGGAGGCGGCGGCGGCGGCAGGTGGCGCGCAGCAAGGCCGGAGCCGGGC